AGCAACGACGATCAACCACCACGCATGGAACGCCATCGTAAGCGTTTCAGACGTGCCCAGGACTCGTTGCCCACGAAAAACTTGCTGCTAGTGTAGCAATCAAAGGTAAGAATACGACGATGACCGGAAAGATAAACTAACCTAGAGGCAGACATCGAGGAGGCGGACGAAGTCGGCGCGAAGATGTTGCGTGATGCCACCAAGGCCGTCAAAGCTCTGAGGACGGCCGTGGCGTGGTTCCCGGATGAGGAAACCAAGTTGGCGAGTACGAGGAGTTTTTGAAGGAGGTCGTTGTCACTGCTGTGGCAAAATCGAGGAAGGTTACGAAGGAGAAGGTAACGGTGAAGACCGACACACCCTGGCAGTGCGGATGCTCCGGTCCCCTACGGAGCCGTCGATAAAAACCGACTCTGACGACACTTTGCAGGAAAGCGTGGTGCTGAGCGAGCACGCAAGATCAAGACTGCGTCACTCGTTGCACCTGGGGATGTCGAGGAGATCTGGGCACTGTATGTGCAGCTGTTCGAAACTGAACCTGGCGAGTTAGAGGCGCCAAGAGTAGACGAGGAGGACGAACCTATCGGAAGAGACGACTGGGACAACAATTGCAGGATCTTGGGGAGATGGCTGGCGAGAGATGGATAATGATAAGTTAAACCACTTACTTCAGTTTCCCGGTGGCAAGCCCGCACTCTTTGCGGAATTGCGGTCGAAAACGGGACTATGTGCCTGGGATGCAGATGCGGCATCGACGTTCGTGAGGGAGAACGAAGATATGGAGCCATTGTTCCTCCTGTGGCACCAGCGAGTAGGTGTCGCGGCGATCGTCGACAAGATATGGGGGTCTGCGCTAAACGAAGGTAACACTCCGGGAATTTTAATAGCGGACGAAGTAGGCGTTGGGAAGACAGCACTCACCATGGGCACCATCGCCTTCGTCATCGATGCTTACTGGGTTCAAGAAGTCGCTGCCGGACGAGGAAAACCTGCCGGGGCGACTGCAAGTATCAACCTGACCAACCTTCGCCCAGCCCCCATCCTCGGTGAGTGTCCTGTTTATGAAACGGTCCCCTGAGGGAGCCGTCAGTGTCACGGACGCGTGGGTGTCGTGGATGGATGATGGATCCGGTCCCCGTAGGGAGCCGTTGCTGGTTGCTGGTGTAACAGTCCCCTGAGGGAGCCGTTGCTCATTGCTGGGTGAGACACGAGTCTTGTGTCCAGCATGAGTACGGCAGAACGATCTGACGTACGGGTGTGACAGCAGTCCCCTGAGGGAGATGCTGTAGGAGTGGGCACCTGTTTGACAACGGGTGTGACAGCAGTCCCCTGAGGGAGATGCTGTAGGAGTGGGCACCTGTTTGACAACGGGTGTGACAGCAGTCCCCTGAGGGAGATGCTGTAGGAGTGGGCACGTGTTGGACAACGGGTGTGACAGCAGTCCCCTGAGGGAGATGCTGTAGGAGTGGGCACCTGTTGGACAACGGGTGTGATTGCGGTCCCCGTAGGGAGCCGTCTGCTGATCCTAGTCAAAGAATGGTAGCTCACCAGTGATTTCTCCCTCACAGCCGAACGCCCGTATTTTGCAGGCAGAGATGCAATCCCGAACCTGCCCCACGTCATCATCGTGCCGAATTCCTTGATCAATCAATGGTATTCGGAGCTACGCACCTTCTTCGCCCCCGGAGCTGTCGAGATCTACAGGTATCCGTCAGCAGAAAGTGAGTTTGGCGATTTCTGGAACGGTCCATGGGCCACGTCGGCCACGCCATTGATTCATCGAATCATCTTGGTCACTCATTCCGTGAGTCTGATCAGTTTGCCCTCACAATTCTATTCTAACAGCATACTTCACGCCAGATCATGGCTACCTTAGGCAAAGTGTTCGACACACGCAAAGGCCTCGCAGGACACAACAGTCACAAGGCGTCGGACGAGACACGCTCCATCAGACAACGGAAACAAGCATCGAAATGTCTGTGGGCCGGACGTGAATTCCTCAGCATTTCGATCGACGAAGTCCACGAGATGCGCAACCTTACTGCAGGTTTTTACGCGACACTCGAGGTCACGAAGGCCTCCGTCATTAAATTACTCGCATCAGGCACTCCACTCTACACCGGCCCGATGGTAAGTCTCAGCATGAAACATGGTTAGTTAGCACTGACTCACTCCTTTTTCAGGATCTTTGCAATATAGGTCGGTTAGCGCGGATCCAGCACTTCATGGGCAAGGAGGGCGACGCGCGTGATAAAGATCACATCAAGCAACTTCGTGCTGCACGTCGAGCGATGACGCAGGAGGATAAGAATGACGCTGCCGCACATACCATTCGTTTGATGGCCGGTGAACCAACCGACGACGAGGAGCCTGAAGCCAGGCTGCGCATACGCAAGGTAACGAGTGCCTGGATCACTAACATTAAGCGAGGCTACGCTGGGCGGGTGATTCGACGCACCGTCGATTCCAAGACTTTCGACAACAAGAAAATCAACGACACCCTCACGCCCTACAAAATGATCATCGTACCTGTGCATTTGGACGACACGGAGCTGGACATCAACAAAAGCGTCATGGCTCAGATCACCGGCTCGTAAGTTGACGGCTCCCTGAGGGGACTGCGCGTATCCACTGACATTTATCTCACCTCGTCGTACAGATCGTTAGTCGCAACACTGGATGATAGTGCCAGTTTTAACACGGTATGTTGCCAGTCCCCTCAGGGAGCTGCCCACTGACGAGTCCGCAGAAATTTTACCTCGATGGCCGCACAAAGGTCGCGTTCCCCCATCACACGTCGCCCACCTATCCTGCTGTTAAGTCCCTCGCTGAATGGCAGACGGTCAAGTCCTCGAAGGTTGACACGTTGGTCAACGTGCTCGGGTGGCACCTCGAAAACGACGAACACGATATATTTATATGGTCAAAACAGAAATAGGTTTCAAACTTTGGAAAAAATATCTTTTCCTGGGCTGGTACATCATTTAGAGGCATCTTCCAGGAATCATATGAACCAAGAATTAAGAAAAACGGCGGTTGGAATATGGAGATATGGTCGAAATACTGACTTTTTTTCCTCTCCACCAAACCGCAATATTGGCGACCTCTATACACCCTGGGACCATCTCCAATCGATTTGTACGACTGAAAAACAGTAGGAACACTATTTTCAGTATCGGTCTTGAGTCAGATTTGAGTGTGGTGCGATATAGGGGGTAGGGGGGGGGGAGGAGGACATTCTATATCTCGACAACCTGATTTTTCCTGACATATTGGGCTTTACCATCGTGTTCAGGGACATTGAGAGCCCCCTGGAAAAATGCTTTTGGAGGGCATGCAAGTCATGGGAAGGCTAGAAAAATCGATCTTTGAGGGGGGTATGTGACAAATTCGCACATGTCACTTTGTATGGTCTCAAATCGCTCTGGTATTATTTTAAATCGATTTATATCATTGGAAAACAGTAGGGACACCCTTTTACATACCGGTATTTACATAATAGGAAGATATGTGAGTTTGGGGGGGGGAGGAGGACCTTCTGTATCTCGACCACCTGATTTTTTCTGACAATTCAGGCTTTACCATCTTGTTCGCAGCTATCAAGAGCCCCCAGGAAAAATGGATTTGGAGTCATGGCAAGTCATGGGAAGGCCAGAAAAATCGATCTTTGAGGGGGGGTATGAGGTCAACTTACACATTACATTTCATATTGGCCAAAAACACTTTGAACACATCTTCAATCTATTTTTATGATCCAAAAACACTATTCAAATCCTTTTTACATCAGTATATACATGAAATCATGCTTCATGGTGGAGTAGGTAGGGGGAGGGGGTAGCATGACTCTGAAACATGATTTTTTCGGACAAAATAAGCATTGCCATCGCGTCCAGGGTGGTTAATAACCTTAGAATCAAGTTTCATTTGAAGCCAGGCAAGTCATATGAAGGCTGAAAAAATCAACCTTTGAGTGAGGCAACAGGACAGGGGCGACCCTGCTTACATAAGCAAATGCGGATAGGTGGGCACACTTGAAGCAAGACACCACATATCAGAGACCTGTTGCTCATAAATGTACATAGATCGATTGTGGTTGTATTTAGTTTGAGATTGAGACATTACAGTCATCAAAAGGCTAAGACAGTCGACCTTTGATTGAGCACCTCAGCATGGCAACCTTACACTCACTCTTCACTCATAACTTTAGAACATGATTTTTTTGAACAAAAGTAGCATTACCATTGGAATCCGATGGTTCAATAACCCCCATTGAGATGTCTATTCGACACAAGGCAAGTCGTACGAAGGCTGAAAAAATCGATCATTGTGAGGCAATAAGACAGGGGCGACCCTGCTTACATAAGCAGATGCGGACACCTGAGCACACTTTCAGCAGACTCCACAGATCAGAGGTCTGATGCTTCTAAATGCACATAGATCTACTGCGTTTGTACCAAGCTTTAGATTCAGATCATGTCTTGAGTCTTCCTAATAGGATTCCTTCTCAGTAGCTGTCCTTGGGTAGACTTTTGC